ATACGGGTTTTGAGCCTTGTCAAGATAAGGGGGTCCAATTTGGGGGGGAGGGGGGGGGGGGTCTCCTCTTAGAAGTCTCATATCGCCAGCGGAAACTTCGCTTCTTGGGAGGGTTCTCTTGTGGGCTCTAGGAGCCCTCAAAAAATTGAATCATGTGAAGTGTGCTATAGTCCCTATAGGTACATGGATCGGAATGCGGAGCTTCCGCAACTACCCTCTCCCAGAGCGCAGAAGAAGACTGGCTAGGGTGTTGGGCTGGGTCACTGAGTGCTTCGAGGATGACATGAGGGGCAAGATTTGTCCCGTCCTTTGCGCGACGACCTGGTATGCCCGAAGCCCTTAACCCTTAACCCTGTACCCTAAACCCTAAACCCTAAACCCTAAGCCCGAAACCCTAAACCCATCCACGCAGCACAGGATGGCCGAAGAACGCCTGGGGACGAGTTGCCAAAGCAGGGGAATCGAGGGGGCTGTCCAGAGCTCTGAGCCAATGTGTGCTGCAAGGGGCGAGCTCTGTGGGATGTTCGGGGGGCTCCTGGATGCTTGGAGTACTGTAGGGTTTCGGGTTTAGGTTTTAGGGTTTAGGGTTAGGGCTTAGGGTTTAGGGTTTAGGGTTTAGGGTTTAGGGCTTAGGGTTTAGGGTTTAGGGTTTAGGGTTTACGGTTTAGGGTTGAGTCGCTCATTCTGTTCAGGGTTTAAGATTTAGGGGAGGTTTAGGGTTGAACCGCTCACACTCGCACAAGCCAGGCGAGGCATGTTTGGCAAAGGGGAGTTTACGAACATACCCTAAACCCTAAACCCTTAACCCAAAAGATTCCCCTCAAGACGTGAAGGCTACTTACTCAACAAACAAAGGCTGCTTCGCATGGCAACCTTTGGTTGGTGTCACACCAGCAGTTTACTAGTTCATGGCTGGGATAGAATTAAACGTAAATTTCAATTCCTTGGGAAAGTGTTGCCCCGCTATGACAAAGGTTTAGGGTCGTAGGCTTTACGGGGGGTTGCCCCTGTCCAGCCTGGGAGGACGAACTTGTCTTGGGCTTAATAGGGGGGGGGGGGGGGGTTGCCGAAAATAGGTGTACTTGGAGGTTCGTGGTACTTATTTACCCTAATATGGTTATCATTGGGCTATACGTGCAGTTACTATTGGGTAGTAGGTACCATGAACCTCCAAGTACTCCTGTCTGGGGAGTCCCTTTCAGGGGAGTCTATTCTTGGCTACACTCAGAAGGGTAGCAAAATTTAAACTTTTAGCTGCCTTATTAAGAAACCCAATAAACCCAAAAAGGCTAAAGATATAAAGTTGCAGTAAAGCACCACAAAGTATTCTAGGGTTTAGAAGGGGTACCCTTTATGCTGATGCGCCTTAACTAGTCAACATCCGTGTCATGCCCTACATCCCCTAACCTTAGGGTTTAGGGTTTATACTCCGAATACTTGACACCGCTCCCCTACCACCGGGCCCATCATCCTGTATGTGCGTATGGCCCTGCATGACTTGGCACTGCAAGAAATCCCACATGACCACATGATAGCGCATCCCACTGCCGCATGGCTCTGAATCTTCGGGCCTTTTGCCCTAAACCCTAAACCCTAAACCCTAAACCCTAAACCCTAAACCCTAAACCCTAAACCCTAATTCTTATGCTGTTTTTGTTTCCCTTTCTCGCCCGGCTCTCAGGAAGGTGGAGACCTTCAGTCCCGCACCTCGTTGAACCCAGTGGCTCTGGCACAGGAGACCGGCACAGTCGTGGAAGAACAGGGTCGAGGGAAGCGCATGTCGGCAGCAAAGATGCCCTGTGGGGCTGCATCCACACCACATGCCCGCACACATCTCTCACGCATCATCGGGCCGAATCTGGGCCACGATGACATATTCGAGGCGCCATGGCGCTCCGTCATGCGCGTTGCCGAGCTGATCGGAAGCTGCCAAGCCCAGCACAGATTCCTTACTTCTCCAATAACCAATGTAAAAAAAGGTTAAACTTTACTATTCCTACCAAACAAGGAAACCCAACAGGTTAAAATTCGACCATTGGCTAAGTAAGATTCGGCAAGAGGTCGCTGGAGGCCCTTCTTGGAACGAGTCATCAGCACAGCCTCTTCATCTTCCTGCAAACAACTACCGGCTGGCTCTTAGTAGGGAATACGGGAATGAGTAAGGGTATAATCCCTTAAAGGGTATATATAGGGCCCTAATTCCCTCATTCCCTACTAAGGTTGGTCTTGGGGTAGTTACATGGTCCCTTTATAATGGGCCCTTAAAAGGGGACCCCATATATACCCCATACAACCCAAGGATCCATACTCCAGAACCCTTTAAAAGAAGGTAAGGGACCATATCCAGGGACAACGTAACCCTAAACCCTAAGCCCTCAGCCCTAAACCCTAAACCCTAAACCCTGAGAGCTGGAACCATGCGCCCTTAGTATGGTCTCTGACCCTTGTTTACAGGGAGCCGAAGTCTGGGCCCAGGTCAAAGATATTGTGGATGTTCCCCTTATACTGTCAGTCCTTAAGTTTAGGGTTAGGGTTTAGGGTTTAGGGTTTAGGGTTTAGGGTTTAGGGTTTAGGGTTTAGGGTTTAGGGTTTAGGGTTTAGGGTTTAGGGTTTAGGGTTTAGGGTTTAGGGTCTAGGGTTTAGGGTTTAGGGTTTAGGGTTTAGGGTTTAGGGTTTAGGGTTTAGGGTTTAGGGTTTAGGGTTTAGGGTTTAGGGTTTAGGGTTTAGGGTTTAGGGTTTTGGATGTCCCCCCTTAGACTAACAGTCTTTGATGGGGATTATTGTACCCCCGATTATGATCCTCATTAAGGACTGTTAGTATAGAGGGCAACAGCCCGAATAGAAATTTCTCACAAGGGACCCAAATTAAGGACCCATACTTGGAACCCCAGACGATCTGCACTGCCAGACCAGACCTGATCGTTCAACCCAAACCTAGAGTTACCAAAAAGTCGCGAAGCGGACCTTTCTGGCCTAGGGTTTCAGGTTTAGGGTTTAGGGTTTAGCGTTTAGTGTCTTTTTATTTTGTTTATTTATTTATTTATTTTCTTTTTTTTTTTGGGGGGGTGGTTACGTAGATATTATGGATATGACATCGAAACGAAACTGGTTACCTATACTAGACCCTAAACCCTAAACCCTGCGCAGCTACTAAGTTTAGAAGGCTCACGTATTCCGTATTTAGGCACGGACCCTTAGGGGAAACATGGGGAAAGCAATGTGCGGGATCTTACACCCGCTTGGGCCCGGCCCACCCTAAACCCTAAACCCTAAACCCTAAACCCTAAACCCTAAACCCTAAACCCTAAGCCCTAAACCCTTAGATACACGCAGCATCCCCACACACGCTTGGGCCCAGGTTCATTCAGAAAGGGAACACGTGCCCAGCCCACGATCACGTCATCGAAGCTGCCCCCAAGGCCATGGAGAACCTTCACCAATTCCTTGGGGACCCAAGTTTAAACCCAAAAAGGGTTTAGGGTTTAGGATTTAGGGTTTAGGGTTTAGGGTTTTCCTTAAAGGGACTTATAGTTGCGCAGGGATATACGACCCAATTTTTGGGGTCCACTTGGTCCGCAAGGTTCATCGCAGAGCATGCTGGCCTGTCCAGCCCCGTCGCTCGGAACCGTCATGCGTGCATCTTCTGGCGCAGCCCTGATCGTGAAAAGCGCCAGGTCACCTTGTCCGTAAACCAAATAGCCTGGCAAAGAACTGCTGGGGCTGCAATCCTGCACCCTGAGCCCTAAACCCTAAACCCTAAACCCTAAACCCTAAACCCTAAACCCAAGTGATTGCCGAACTGCCCACCCGCCGGCCGCACGACTACGGGAAGGGCGCCTGGTACGTACGGCATGAAGTACTTGGGGTCGAACTCCTTCTTGATGTCGATGCGCAAACTTCGACCGGGCATGGATCCTTGAAGACCCGATGAACCCAAAAAGGGGTTTAGGGTTTAGGGTTTAGGGTTTAGGGTTTAGGGTTTAGAGTGGGCTGATGGTTCATATACCTCAATAGGACTTAACGTACTAGAGCCTAGTTGCTGAGTACCCTGGGCCAAACAAAGTTAAACAAAGGTCAGGCTTTCAACCATGGTAGGCTTTTCTATAATTCAACGAAGAAGCAGCCCCCCCCCCACCCAATTTATCGGATTCCTCTGGTCCCAGGGTGCCTCCGTCTATGCCTTCGAGTGCGAACATGCCAAAGGTCTCCAAAAGGAACCTTCGGTCGCTCACATTGTCGCCAACCTCAGAAACCGCAAGGCGTTCCTCTTGCTTGCAGGTTCTGTCTGCATATTGCCCTAAACCCACCAAACCCTACACCCTAAACCCTAAACCCTAAACCCTAAACCCTAAACCTAAACCCTAATTCTATCGGCCCAAAGGAGGCAAACATCGAGTCAAGCAAGTGTGCACAGGCGAGGCGCCTCTACCACACCCAGCGTCGCAACCTGATCCATACCAAGATCCTTCGATGCCGCCGGGCCCCACTCCTCCACCACACGACGATTTGCCTGGGGTGAACTTGCGGGCCCCATAAACATGATTACTTATGGGCTGTCTGGAGCAACTTAGGGATTAGGGCCCATGGAACTTCGAAAAACCAAAAGAATAAATAAGTAAATAGAAAGAAATAAGTATACACATATATATATATATGTATATGTATATTTCTTATCAACCTCAGTTGCTTCGAAGCCATCCCCGTTGCCAGAGACCCAATGAAGTATCTGCGGTGACCGCAGCCACTGCGTAGACTCCACCTGCCAAACATTTTTTCGAAACCTTGGGGGCCTCAACAGACCACCCAAAACAAGGACCATCTCCCGTTGCTACCCGAACCCTTTTTAACCCGGGCTCTCATACCCTAGAAACCCTAGAAACCCTTCTTGCGCACCACAAACCTTTTAGGGTTGATTTCGGCCCCCAAGCGGGGGAATGGGCACCAAAGGACCCTGCAGTTTGATTCTGTCGTGCACAGCCCTGAAGCCTTGCTGAGTACTGTGGGCCACAAACGGCTACCGTTTCAACTATGGTAGGACTGGTAGGATTGTGTATACCCCAAAAGGTAGGATTGTGTATACCCCAAAAGGTTAAAGGTTACCTACTCAGATATGAAGGAAGTCATGCCAACTTCATGGACATGGGCCAAAGGCGCCGTCCAAGAGCACCAGCTAACAAGACAAGCCACGTCGAAGGGCAGTTCGTCAGAGTAGTCCCTCACAGCTTCGCCAATCTTGCGGATCGTGGTGATGTTCGCCTTCACTTGCGCCTTCATGCTGACCCTGCACCCTACACCCTACACCCTACACCCTACACCCTACACCCTAAACCCTAAACCCTAAACCCCAAACCCTAAACCCTAAACCCTAAACCCTAAACCCTAAACCCTAAACCCTAAACCCTAAACCCTAAACCCTCCTTCATGCTGAAGTCCAGGTGGTCAAACTCGCTCGGGACATGCGGGTGACCTGAGTACGACCCCGCGGGCGCCCAGGCTGGACTCCGGAACAATTTCGACCCAAACTTCCTAAGCTTATAGGGTTTAGGGTTTAGGGTTTAGGGTTTAGGTTTAGGGTTTAGGGTCTAGGGTCTAGGGTCTAGGGTTTAGGGTTTAGGGTTTAGGGTTTAGGGTTTAGGGTTTAGGGTTTAGGGTTTAGGGTTTAGGGTTTAGGGTTTAGGGTTTAGGGTTTAGGCTTCAAGGGGCCTTAATGCTCCCCCAATACTCCCTAAGGCTCCCTAAGCTTCCCTAAGGTTCCGTAGGTACCTACCCCTCTTGAACCCCCCCCCCCCCCCACCAAGCCCTGTTCTAAGGTTCAGGCTTTATGGTTCGTTCCCAGGGGCGGCATCCGAACCACTTCAGGGGGTTCCGAAATACAAGGCGTTTAGGGTTTAGGGTCTAAGGTTTTGGCTGTCTAGGCACATGGCAGTGTTATCAGAACTCCGAAAGTTTGAAGGTGCAGGGGCATTGGGGTTTAGATAGCGGTCGGCGCTTTCTGCCAAAATCCCGGGTACAACCTCAACAACAAGACAGGTACCTTTTCGAAGGGCCCTCGAATTGGGACTCTTTCAGCAGCAGGGCTTCTGCCATCCCTCCTCAACCCAAGACCCTGCTTGAACCCCATAAACCCTAAACCGTTTTTGTTCCTCAAACCCTTTTGAAGCTGGACGTACCGCCAGACGCCTAAACCCTAAACCCTAAACCCTAAACCCTAACCCTAAACCCTACGCCCTAAACCCTAAACCCTAAACCCTAAACCCTAAACCCTAAACCCTAACCCTAAACCATAACCCTAACCCTAAACCCTAAACCCTGATGGCGATCCTAAGGTTTAGGAGGGCTCAGGCTTTGAAGGAGAGCAATGTAGGGGCCTGAAAAATTAGGATAGGGCTTTGGGGGTTATTATCGTCTAATTATATCGTCAAATAATATAGGGACCCATAAGGGAATACCATGAGTAGTTACTCCGACCCCCCATCCCTAAACCCTAAACCCTAAACCCTAAACCCTAAACCCTAAACCCTAAAACCCTAAAACCCTAAACCCTAAACCCTAAACCCTAAACCCTAAACTCTACAGGGACCGACGGAGACCGAGCGGCTGTGATAAAATGGCCCTGGCGTCGCGCCACTTAGAAATAGGGCGGGGCAAGACGGGCGAAGCCGTTCCACCTGGGGCTTCTGATAGGTTTGGGGTTTAGGGTTTAGGGTTTAGGGTTTAGGGTTTAGGGTTTAGGGTTTAGGGTTTAGGGTTTAGGGTTTAGGGTTTAGGGTTTAGGGTCTAGGGTCTAGGGTTTAGGGTCCTGATACCCTTGATAAGGGCCACTAGAACATGGTGCTGGAGGTTGCTAGACGCAAATCAATAAGGGGCAACAACCGAAAGGCTCTGGCGTTTAACTTGGGGTGTGGAGCTTGGTGCAAAGGTTTGCAGGCCCTCAACCCTGCAACTTAAGCATAAACCCTAAAACCTAAACCCTAAAACCCTAAAAACCCTAAAACCCTAAAACCCTAAAACCCTAAAGCCCTAAAGCCCTAAAGCCCTAAAGCCCTAAAGCCCTAAAACCCTAAAACCCTAAAACCCCTAAAACCCTAACACCCTTAAAGGGAAGAGGGCTCCATGAAGACTCGCCACGTGCACCCCATGCACGACGGAGGCGCCCATTGGCTTGCAGAATTTGCAGAGGCCATCGCGCAACAGCGCGTGCCAGGCCATGTTGATGATGGGCCGTGGTTTCTTTTGAGGATTTACGAAATTAGGGGTACCTTCTTGGGTCCTCGTTACAAGGGAATCCTAGTATCTTGGGGGGTCTATATGTGGGCGCGCGTGTTGCTGGACCCAGGAGTATCCTAGGGATAAAAATAGGGGACCCTCTTTGGTTTTAAGGGGATTATGAGGGAAACCCAACCAGTAGGAGAGAAGCCCCTCAAAGGACTATTGGGGTTAGGGTTTCGACTTTAGGATTTAGGGACAGTCCCGATCACAAGACAGATGAATAGGATGCAGCGCTCTATCTGTCGCAGTTGTGGCTCACAAGCTGCTTGAGACCACCAGAAGTAGTCTGCATGCAAACAAAGGTGCGCCTCAATGGTTTCAGCCTCCTCTACCTATAGAAGCCATAAGATGAGCTTGGCGACAAACATCAGCCACTTGTGAAGATAGTAGGATTAGCTCTCAGTCCCAGTTGGTTCTTGTAATTGTAATTTATCACAACCCACAGCACGTCTTAGGTGATGGCTTACGGTCCTTTCAGTCAGTTTGGTGCACACTTCGGAGAAAAACAACACAAAGAGGGACTTTTTTCGCCCACGGCTGCTGTGCACTCGCCGGGTTTTCGGGGCATTCTGGCGGCAGCACGCTCCTGGGACCTGAGGGCTTTTCGACAAGGTACCTTCGGGCTTTCCCTGGGCCTCTTTTTACCTACAGGTTGGTAGTAGTAGTAGTAGTAGTAGTAGTAGTAGTAGTAGTAGTAGTAGTAGTAGTAGTAGTAGTAGTCGTAGTAGTAGTCGTAGCTCCCCCTCAATTAGGAGGCATAACCACTAGGACTGTAGGTAAAGAGATTCCCAGGTAGGGTTGAGGAGTTGGAGGGTCGGAGCTATGCACTCTAGGCCTTCCGACACAGAAGTGTGCTTCCAAACGTTGCCATGCAACCACCAGGGCCAAACTGCAACAGCAATTTGCGCCTTTTGCGCAACAGCTGCATTCTGCCGTCTGTAACAGTGAGGAAAAGTGCCATTTCCGATTGCTTGTTTTCGTGCCTGCGGGCCGCATGTCCAAGGGATTGAGAAGACTACTTCAGCCTACTCATCTCAACCCCACCCCTTGAGAATCCTCACTCCCTCTCTACGCCCACAAGCCTGTTTTCCCTTATGCTTTGCTTTGCACTACACTGTGAACCCTAAATGCACAAAGCCCTGTACGATCGTGTGGCTTCAGTGTCTTTAGTTGTATAGCTTCGCGTCTAAAAGGGTACAAGAGCCTAAGACGTAGAACTTAAGTCAACGATGGTGTGCAAGCTGCCAGTGTGCTCACAGCCCGTCACGAGATGGTCAGCTCCTTGCGGCACCTCTCCAGTTCAGGTGCGTCTGCTCTGAGGGACTTTTTCGGCAAGATGTGGGCTCGAGAGGGCTCGCAGGATGTGTGCAGGCGAGTGCGCGTGTGCGCGAGCGTGAGTGGGTATGTGTGCGCGCGCATTTCATTCGTCATTCTCGCTCATCACTAAGCGGGTCCTGTTCTACATGCATCGCATGAAGTAAAAACGTCTGTGTGTGTGGGTGTGGGTTTGCATGTGCGTACGCGCGCTTTGGCGAGGACCGGGGTGGGTGGTGGGGCGGGTGGTGCTTTGGTGGGGACCGGGGTGGGTGGTGGGACGACCGGTGCTTTGCGTTTAGACCTCTGAGGGCGTCTCCCCGAAGACCTTCATTGCCCCTGAACTCCCCAAGCATAAGCCCTAAACCCTAAACCTTAACCTCTAAACCCTATCTTATATATGTATATATATATATATATGCCCTAAACCCTAGATGTTAGCGGGGCTTCGTGCTCAGTGTGCAAAAGGGCTTAGGGCCTACTTGCGCCCTCAAGCTTTGCAGATGAGATGAGTAAGTTTCGAGCTGAGAGTCCAAAATCCTCCACATAAACCCTAAACCCTAGACCCTAAACCCTTTTTTGAAAGAGGTAACCCTAAACCCTGAACCCTAGAGTAGGACATAGCCCCATAAACAACAAACAGCAGATAGCACGGCCTAGACTTCCGCCGACAGCCTTAACGAAGCCACTTGACGCCCCCGAAATCCTTCAATCCGCAAAGCCTAGATAGTATAGAAATAAATACCCTGCATACATACATACCCACATACATGCATGCATACATACATACGTACATACATACATAAAGACATACATAAGTACATATTTATTGTAGGGTTAAGGGTTTAGGGTTAAGGTTTAGCCCGATAAAACCTTGTACCCTGAACCATATTGAAGTAGGGTATATATTTCTTGTACCCCCCCCAAAGGGACACCCAAGGTATACACTCACCAATAATAAAGAGGAACCTTATATACACTCTAAACCCTAAACCCTAAACCCTAAACCCTAAACCCTAAACCCTAAACCCTAAACCCTAAACCCTAAACCCTAAACCCTAAACCCTAACCCTAAACCCTAAACCCTAAACCCTGCTTCAACATCGTGTTGGACAGGTGAGTGGCAAAGGGCAGGTCGCACTTCGCTGAAGCCTGGGGCTGTAGACTCCGGGTTGAGGCCGGGGACTCCTTTTAGGGTTTAGGGTTTAGGGTTTAGGGTTTAGGGTTTAGGGTTTAGGTTAGATGGGTTCCGCCTCCGAATTGAGGGGTAGTCACTACTAAACCGTAGGCAAATAGAGTCCCAGGTAGGGCTTCGGGGGTATGGTCTAGTGTTTTGCGATCTCGCTTCCGAAGGGCTGGATCTAGGAGTTCAGGGGTTTTAGTGCTTGGGGTTTGCCTGTGCCTCACGCGGCGCTCTATCATCATGAGGCTTATGAAGGCTCCTGTAGCGGCTCATGGTTTAGGGTTTAGGGCTGAGGCCTGTGCAGAAAAAAACAAAGCACATGCCGCCCTGTTCTAAGTGCCGAAGCTCGAAGTGGGCGGACATTTTTTCGGCTTCTCGGGAATGCATCTGGCATGACGTTCTGAGAAGGTGGCTCCGGAAAGACACAATATGTAAAGCTAAGCCCTGACCCTGAGTCCTGAACCAAAGGGTTACGGCTTAGGGTTTAGGGTTTAGGGTCGAGGGTGTACAGGGTTTAGGGTATGTCCGCAACCTACACTACATCTGCTACGCCCTTGCATGCCTTGTGGGCAGCGGCCTATGGCCCGTGCTATCCCTCAACTCCTCCGTCCTCGTTGTCTAAAGTTAGGGTTTCAGGTTTATGGTTTCGGGTGAGTCTTGCTGCCGTTTCTCATGGAGTTGTCGGGTCTTGGAGGCCAAATGAACCCCACAATAAGACTTGGAATGACGTGTTCAGGGTTTAGGGTTTGGGATTTAGGGTTTAGGGTTTAGGGGGGGGGGGGGGGGGAACATATACCCCATGTCACTCTCATCAATATGACAAGTATACAGACCATGAACTCGTCTGGGGCTCTACTTCGTCTCCAGAACTCTAAACCCTATATAAGCCCTAAAGCCTTACCTGGGACTCTATTTTCCTACCGTTTAGTAGCAGCCACCCCATAAGAAGCAAGTATAACCCATCAAACTGCAGGTAAAAATGGAGTCCCAGGTAGTGCACAAGATCCAGAAATTACATGGAGCCAGGAGGCCACCTCCCGAAACCCTAAACCCTAAACCCTAAACCCTAAACCCTAAACCCTAAACCCTAAACCCTAAACCCTAAACCCTAAACCCTAAACTCCATGGAGCCAAGAGGCCACTCTTCGGCGCAAGTCTTGTGGAAGACGTGCCAGGCATTGCCATCGCTGTCGCAAATCAGGCAAATGCGCCGGCCTGCGTTCGAGTTTAGGGTTTAGGGTTTAGGGTTTAGGGTTTAGGGTTTAGGGTTTAGGGTTTAGGGTTTAGGGTTTAGGGTTTAGGGTTTAGGGTTTAGGGTTTAGGGTTTCGGGTTCAGGGATCCCCCCAACTACCCTTTAATAAAGGGGACTTATCATACCCTGCTATGGTTAGGTTAGTTGGGGGGTGCTGGTAGGGTCTCGGGTTTAGACTTCAAGGGTTCCCTCTCAGAGTTCCCCCCGAGGCCCATGAGGGCAGGGGGTTTATAGGGTTTAGGGTTTAGGGTTTAGGGTTTAGGGTTTGCCGCCCGCCTGGTTGAACTGTAGGTTTACAGGGTTTAGGGTTTAGGGTTTAACTTTCAGAGTTACCCTGGCACATGAGGGCAGGGGCTAGGGCGTTCAAATGAAGAGGGAGGCGTACAGAGTACGGGGATACTGTGCAACACCCAAGTGGTGACCTCATTTGCTTGACCTCTTCTTGCACCTGGATATGTATTGCCGATACACAAAAAACCAACATGACACACAAACGCACACACACACACACTCTCTCTAACCTTCAGAGCCTCTGACTTCCACTCGCTCCCTTGGGAAGGAATGACCTTAGGCCTGGCCACTGCGTCTCCATCCTACTGTGGGAGTCACGAATGCATATCCTGATTCCATCCGAGACCTGAGTCCTACTGATGGTGCCGTACATGCGAAGAGACACTCCGTGGGCAGCTCTCCCTGAGGTCAGAGAGACTCTGGGCTCGCGCTTCTGGCAAAAAGAGTTTCCTTGTTTGGCTTGTCTGTAGATGGTCAGGGCCACCGGAGTCATTTCGGAGTACTTAGAACAAACGTGTTTGCAGGTAGACATGAGAGCAAGGGCGCAACGAAAAAAAAGATCGGCGGAGTGATGTCTTCTGCGGGCACTGCGGAAACTTGAGCGACGCGCGACGAAACTGGAACTTTCAAGCGTTCTCGGGGCGGTCACATTAACCCTAACCCTAAACCCTAAACCCTAAACTCAGCAAAGCAAGCAAAAATCAGTTTGCCCGATCGGTCCAGGGCGTGGACTAAAGATCCACTGCGTGCACGTTGGCTCGAACTGCGCAGCTGAAGCCATCGCTTGTATTTGTGTGCCACCTTGGGGACGAAATGAACCCTAAAAGGGTTTATGGTTCATATACCTTCATAGTAGTTATGGAAGTATAGGGTATATGACCCCGTTTTAGGGTTCATGTGGCCCTCGAGGTTCTGCCATTGCAGAGAAAGGGGCGGGGGAAGCAGTTTGCCCTGACCCAATTGACATGGCTCACCTCAAGGTGTTTGAAGCAAGTGCCGCCTTGATCCGAGGCCTCATCGCTGCTCCCACACTCGCTGGTCTCACACCTGGGCGCTGGCAAACCCATGGCACAAACCACGGGCCCCTAAACCCTAAACCCTAAATCCTAAACCCTAAACCCTAAACCCCAAACCCTAAACCCTAAACCCTAAAACCCTAAACCCTAAACCCTACACCTATACGTGTGCCTCTGAAGACCCTAGGCCCGATGGCGCTTGTTTGCCTGAGGCCCCAAGGATTCGGATTACCGGCTCCTCACCCAAAACATCGCATCCTTCTCAAACCCTAAACCCTTAACCCTAAACCCTAAACCCTAAACCCTAAACCCTAAACCCTAACAGTACATACACCAGTCTAGAGTACATAGCATAGCCCAATCATGCCCAGTCAACTGCTCCGAGGTCTCTCAAAGACCAAACAGTGCGGGTTTCGGGTCTAACGATTCCCCTGTGGATTCTCAAGTCTCTTACATGATCCTTTAATCTGGGCCCCTTACTTGGGGAACTTCTACATACCCTTTTGGGTTTTGCACATACCCTGCAAAACCCAAGGGCCCCATACTCCGGAACCCTGCTAACGAAGGGACCACATTAAGGGACCGTGTAACTTCCCTAGACTTCCCCTAGAAGATCTCGACACAAAAACCCTGACGAGCTATGAAATGTGACCCCTCTAAGGTCAGAAAACACATGCTTCAAGCGCATGAAAGTCCCACAAGCACTCTATTTCAAGGGCCTTCATAGTCAGAATGGCGCTTTGAGCGGGGTTATGATTGTCTAAATATATAGGGACCATAGCTAGGATGGCCCTTAAACTCCTCTGAAACAAACTCCTGAATCCTCTCAAACACAAAAAAAGGACAAATATAAGATATCCCAAAGGCCTAC